CGCCTTGGTATTACGTAGCCCATTATCGTTTACAGTACCATGGTGCTTTTTTTTTTCTGTTGGAAACATCTACTGCTTGCTTAAGGTTATCAGTCGGAATGTTACAGTCTTTATATTTATGAACTGAGGTTCTAATTTCACACAGGCAGTGGGATTCTGAGGGTTGCAACTTACTGTTTTTCCTAGTGCTGAGGAAATTTAGCTTTACAAGAAGCTGCTTCATTTCAAATTATTGTAGTTTCTGAGGTTGACTCTATATGACATTGCTTTTGAAACAGTCATGTTTCGAGTCCTTTCCTGTTAATTTTTAAGATGTTTAATTTAATTTCCTTTGCGCTTCAGATTTTTTTTTTTTTTGGTTGAGGAATTGTTATTTCTGAGTCATATTGTATGGCGAGATTACATAGGTTTTTCTTTCTGGGTGAGTTCTAACCAGTGTGATTCGTGCTAAGTTTTTTTCTAGACAGTGCATTTCAAAGCTCATGTTGCCAGAATCAACTGCTTGGAACTACTCTCATTAAGCGTACAATAATATTGCACTTTGCTTTTAAAAATAATAAGTGTTGGTTGATTTGTGCTAGTTGAAAGGTTCCCGAAAATTAGTGGAAAGGCAGAAGTACTTGGGAAACGTTTGCATAATGGTGGAATAAACTGTTGGCATGCTTGTATACTGTAGAGATTTTTTTGCTTTCAAACCTGACGTAATGGAAAGGTTATAAGTGTTGTCAAAACTTGATAATTTAAGTAGTATCACAAGGGTGTTATAAATGTACAGAACAATAAATATATTTTTTTTTGTAATGGAACTGCTGTTGCATGTGGAAATCTCATACGGCTGAAATAGGGTTCTTTTTCGCTGCGGGTTTCTAGAAGATGTTAAGAAGGATTAGTTTTACAGTTAGTTGTTATACGAAATTTCTTCTTGGCTATGATGGTTGAGTTTTTAAGGGTATAGGACGGCGTTTTGCATTTGTTGTGTGCCGCAAAGCTAATATCGACATCAATAAGAGAGCTGGTGAGTTGTCAGAATCAGACATGGAGAAACTTACGCAGGTAATGCAGAACCCAAAACAGTATAAAATCCCAAACTGGTTCCTAAATAGGCAGAAAGACATTAAAGATGGCAAATATTCTCAGGTAACTTTGAATTTATACTTTATTGCTTATTTTTCGGATAGTTCCTCACCTTGTTATAGTTGCTTTTCACATTAGCGTGATTGGATTTTTTTAGCTTCTGTCAACAACCCTTGAAACTAAATTGCGTGAAGATTTGGAGCGAATGAAGAAAATTCGCTTGCATAGAGGTATGGTCTTTGAAATCATTTAACAATGTGTCTTGTTTGCAAACCTACTGAATGCATTTTTTTTGGTACACAATTTTCTGCTCGGTCTGGTTCCGACCCTTTGTTGCCCAGATGAAAGATAATTTTGTAGTTTTCGTTACTGCATTTTTGGTACCAATGTAGCTTGTTAGGGCTTTTTTGTTGATAGGACCTTTGCAGCTTTAGCTCTTTTTTTAACCAGGTCTACGACACTACTGGGGACTTCGTGTAAGAGGTCAGCATACGAAAAAGACGGGTCGTAAAGGTCGCACTGTTGGTGTATCCAAGAAGAAGGGTGGTTAACGAGTTAAGCAGAGAACTCAGTTGGCTGGTTTGTTGTTCTTGCCTGCTGAATTCAAGTGTTTTTCCTTTTTGGCTCCGCATCGAGTAATAAAGATTGTTTTGTTGTAATGTTTGTTAAACATGATGGATTTAGACGTTTTATTTGAGTAAATCGTATTAATTTTTAGCCATCACAAGATTCATTCGTCTTTTAGTTCTTCGCTTTTTTCTTTTCTCATACTTTCATCAAGTTCCAAGCAAACATTGTTGTAGAAGTATCCTAGAAGGAAGCAGTGAGCCAAACCAGTGCCGGCGGAAGTCACTCTGAAATCTAAGGTTTAGAAATTTTTGCTTCTGCTGTAAAATTATTTAAATGCTAGTGTAAAGATCTTTGAGATTTCCTGTTAGTTAAGTGGAATTATGGAGAGGTTTTGGGAATGAATGAAAACTAGTGGTCAATATTTGCATCTTTTCAAAAAAAAAGCAATACGGTTCTGTCGTGAAATTCAAATGGAGACAGTCGTATATCCCTTGCAGCATAGTCCTTTTGAGTATTTTCGTTCCAGTGCCATATCCTCCGAGAAAGAAGAATACTCCCAACACTCCTGCAGTTATTTCAGTTTATCAAGTCATTCCTTTAAATGCCATATTAGTTGAGCTTCAAGTTTTATGGTTCTCTGTTTTTTACCATTGGGGATTTTCTATATTCAAGTCGATCTGTCTTCAGTTTTTTTTTTTCTAGGGCGAGAAGAAGTTTATTTCGTGATTTTTACCTGGTGTCACAGTGAAATTCATTGCAATGGCTATAATTCTTCTTTGATTTATAGCTCCAATTCGGTCCGAAATTTTCCACCAAAGTTTCGTTTTGTTGATAGCTTTACCAATGCTTTCTATACATAGTTCAGCACCACTAAATAATACCCAACAGACGTACACAGAATTCACACCGTGCCATGCTAGTACGAAGAGGAAAGTTGCTACTGTAGCTGTGAGGCGCTGACAGTATGGGAGCGTTATTGCTCTTCCAATAGGTAGGTAAATCTAAAGGTTAACCGATTGGGGTTGGTTGTTCCTGTTGTTGAACTCTTGTGGTTTGGCAGTGAGAGCAGGGGTTTTGGGGGCAATGTTTCGCTGCGCTGTTTAACTTTGTATGGAGAGTGTTGTTATGTGGTAATCTTTACTTGGTTCTTGAGAAACTGGTAGAGCCCTCGGTCAAAATTTCTCCACATTCTTGAGTATCGGCTTACTCGAGATATACATATTGGTGGGTCGGGTGGTTTTAGACCATCGAGCGATGCAAATGCTGCAGGTATTCCGAATATGACCACATACTTCATGTGAAACAATTGGCCACGTAAATATGCCACAGAAACGACTGAAATGACAGTTGCGTTGAAAGTTGAGGAGTTGGAATGGGTTGTATATTAATTTCTTTTCTATATCAAAGGCATTCTTGTATGAGAAATTATTCAAGCTGAAGAGTTTGGGAAGAGAGCTTGTCAATTAAATAGACTTAAGGTTCACCTTCGTAAAAGCTCAACGAGTCAAAGATTTGTGGATCAGCTTCAAAGAAAGAGTTAACATGAATTAGATGAAGGATTAACTCGAAAGAATAGTAGCATAGAACTAGTCGGAGTATTTTGACGGCTACTGTCCTGAAAGTCCAGGAATTGAGTTTTAGGATACCAATGAAATTAAATATTTCCAAGTAGTAGCAGTTCAGGAGTTGCTTTGAGCTTCAGTAGAAAAAGTGTTTCAGAAAGATGCTTCCTTTTTTGTTTCTTTTTCGAAGGTTGTCGACTATAAGTCAAGCCTTACGAACTAACTTGTAATGATAGTAGCTGTCTGTTTTGGGATTGTTTCCGTGCTCCACATCTCTCATTTGTGCGTCGAAATCCTCGAATAAAACAATAAGAATGGAAGAATAAGCTGGATAAAACAGATACTGAATTATTCTTAATAACAGTTCTTTATTCAACTTAATTTTTGGGTTGCGAGAAAAATAAATTGAGCAGTTTAGTACCTGAAAAATTTTTAAAAGTAAAGTTTGGTTGCTTCATACAGCAATTTTCTCTTTTTTGATTTAGTTGGTGAAATTTAATAGTTTCTTCAATATGCAAGTTTACTGTATGATTTGTTTTAATTACGAGTTTAGCGGAAAAAGGGTTGATTTTTTAATTGTTTGGATTGTAAACTGACCCTTATTGCACCGTAGAGGTAAAAAGCGTGTTCTTTATATAAAGTGTTGTAGTCGTGCGAAAATGGTACAAACTTTTCCGTTTTTGAGAGAAAGACAATAAATATAATCCAAGCGAATAGTTCATGTCTTATAAAAATTGTAATCCCGATAACAGTAACCGAGAGTGCGGTAAAATTGATAACACAGAGCCAGCTAAAATGATATTGTTAATGATTGATTTTTGGTGATCTTGAGTTTACAGGAAGTAGTAGGGACAATTGTGGCTAAGTTGAAGTTTACCTGGACAAGGCGATAGATGTTGCTATAAATAGTACCACTGAAGCATATCGATGATACGTTAGTGGAAGTCGTTTAATTTGTGAATATAAACCTTTAACCTTTCAAAAATTTTTTTTATTTACTTTCTTGTGCAATAAAATTTTAGTATTGCATATTTTAATCTTTTTTTTTGCCTGCTTTTTATTTCTGATTTTATCTAAGTCAATATGCACAGTAGAAAAGGAAATAAAATTTTTTAGAATTTTTCGTACTGCAGTTGTGCATGGAAAAATCCAAGAATGTTCCTTTTCTCTTTGTTCAATAAGTTGAATTCAGACGACGAATAAAATTATTAGTCTAAAAACGGGGTAATCGAAGCAGATAAAAGTTTACCGGCTTGTATCAAATGTGCAATAAGGACTTTCTTAATGGTTGCCCGATAAAATGCCCATTCTTGATCGGAGTCGTCTATACGGTAATTCGCCAAGTAACTAAATATGAAAAATCTGGTTTTGGACACTACGTTTTTGAAATGCTCCGTATTTCTGCAGTGAGGAGAGAAAGACAGCAAACTTATAGTGGTGCAATGCATAGTATTTTAAGATGTGCTGTTGAAGGATCAAATCGATACATAATGTTCCTCATAAACTTTGATGTTAAACTTTTGACTGTTAAAACTTTTTTTCCACTCATTTTATAGATATCTGCAATCTTTTTGGGCATTATTTGGTGTTTAACTTTATTTTATTTAGTTATCAACTTAGTATTTTTAGCGTTCTGAGGATGACACACAACAGGATAATAATAATCTCGTAGAACTGATAGTATTGCATGTATTCACCTTTTACAGTTATAAAAAGATGCTAAAAAAATTATAAATCAAACTTACTATAATTTTTTAACTTAATTTTTATTTAGGTTTATCTGCTGAATTTTATGGTACCGTATGCTATTGATTAAACAAATTTGTGAAGACTCTGATTTTTTTGTGATCAGTCTAGATTAGCAGTTGTAATTGTGGTAATGTTTGGCTAACTTACGGGCTTGAAATTTTCCAACTTCTGAAGAACGGATACACTTTTCTGGTTACATTATATGATATTATAACTGCAGCAATTGAGTGAGCAATCCAGACTAAAAAACAGAGTCTTATTTCAAATTTAGGCAATCTTGCTAACACAAATTGTCGTTCCCCATTAATCGCTGTTTTTACCGGTTCCTCAGTCATCGCTCTGTTTCGACAGTTGCTATCCCTCTGCAAAAGGAAAAAGAAATTAGACTTCAACTGCGCGGGGAACGGATTTTACTCGGTCTACAGAATTGCTGCTGAAGAAGCATGAAAAGAAATAGAGTCTAATTAGGCCATTTTTACTGCTGTACAAAAAGAAAACAGCACCAGGATACTTCACTGATTTAAATTCTTTGGAAACAAAATAAAAGAAGTGGGAAAAGATAGGAGCATCAGAAGGAATAAAGTCTTTTCTTTTTTCTTTAACAGACAGTTCTGATATATTTAAATAAAGCATTTTCAATGGTATCTGTACTGGTTCGACGGTTTTTTGCTAACTAGGTTTTAAAGCATAACAGTATCTGTCATTTGTGTTGCATATATTAAATCTGTCTAACAGTAGTGAGCCGGCGGCCTGTGTAACCGTAAAAAATGTGAAGCAAATTTTTATGGAAAAAGAAGTCAAGTGAAGATGAAAGTTATCAGAAGGAAAAAAGGAAGAAAGGGCAAGAAGGAAAAATGAGTATTTTTTTTGTTGTTGACTGAAAAGATCATTTAGCTGTATAAAGCACTTTTTCGTATTTCGTTTTCAATTTTTAATTCTTTTGGTGACAATGTCAACACCGTAAACGGACGCCTTTTGTAAATGTACACAAAATTTATTGTTCCATTTCATATGTATTTCTTAAATTATTAGATAGCCGTGATAAATAAATGAATGAATGAATAAATGAATAAATAAATAAATAAATAAATAGATAAATAAATAAGTAAATGAATAAATGAATGAGTAAATAAATGAGCAGATAAAAAGATAAATAAATAGATAAATAAGTAAACGCTACACATATGTCAGTTTTTTTAGTTGATACCTGCTATGCAAAAAAAAAAAGAAAAAAAATGGTTTCCCAGTAAGATAAAAAACTGTTGCTTTTATTTTGTTTTATTCTTTTTCTGTAAAAACTGTTTCTTTTTTGTCAGTAAGTCATTTTAGAAAAAGGTTCTGATTCTACTCTTCTATTTCTGTTATAATGCTCCTTTCGTTTTCTACTTTTTTTTTTTGTTTTTGAAAAAAAATTGATGATAAAAAATTCATAAAACTGAAAAAGTGATAACAAAAAAAAAAGTACAGAATTTGAAGTTCAGTAACGATATGTATGATTAAGAAATAGACGTGTCTGTCGAAAGCGGAAGCAGTAAACCGGTTGATGCATATAGCAAAATAACTGTTCCGCTGGTTATTAGTATTCTCCTCAGTATCTTTCAGCCACAGCACCACAGCTCATCATCACCATCATCCTTACCAGCTATCAGTATCACCGGCATCTTCATACCTTTAGTTACACCTAACTTTGGGTGTTTACAAGTAAAACATGAGATTAGTAAACTGAGCTGAGACAGTATGATAAATATAATTGTCAAACAATATTACTGAGTGAATGCGGCGTTGCAACTGTAAACCAGTCAAAAAAAAATATTTTAATACTAACATACAGAAAAAAGCTGCTTTTTTACAATTATCCATTCTGATGTACTGCAAAATGACGTTGGCCATTGCCAAACAGATGATAGCCATTTTTACGGGCTAATTTGGTTGTGAAATTAGCAGGTGGTATTGGAGAAAAATTGGGAGGAAAAAATAGAAGAAATACGTTTAAAAGTGATTAAAGTAAGGAAAAAAAATAAATCTAAAAATACAATTGGTTTGTTCCTTTTTTTTTTTGTTCCTTCAAAGTCACTTAAATTGGTACAGAAAAGACTGTGCGAAAGTAAATGAGGAAAGAAGAGGGGAGGGAAGAAGGGAAGCAAAAAAAGAATAGAGAAAAAATTCAACAAAAAGAAGTAAAATTTTCTTTTCTTCCAAATTATAATTTAAATAGTTAAATATTGAATTAAATTTACTTTTTAAGTATTATATTAATTTATGTTTTTCGTAAGCGTAAATGTAATTTTGAATGTTATCTAAATGAATACATCATGTATCCAATTTCCACATATAAACGATTCTTTTCTTTTTCCCCTAAATTTTACGTCAGTTATTGATCGTAGTAAACAGTTTTTGAAAATCAAGATCAAATCAGTCAAAAAAAGAATAATAAAAAATTAAAAAATAATTAAGAATAAGAAGTTTGCACTTTTTTCTTGCCTTCTTATTAACAGTTACCTTAAAACACTCATATTTCGCCTTCAACTTTTATCATTCTGGAAGAAAAAGCTAAAAAGCCAAAAGACAGAAGCAGAAGCGAAATAAATAGAAAAAAAACTAAATTTTTTCAGAACTTCTAATAAAAATTTTTCATTTGTGATTCCAAGTTTTACCATTGCTCTTTATTGCATTTATGTTTGCTTCACAATCAAAGAAACTGAACCAACAAACTGTTCTTGGCGTACATAAATATTCATAAAGAAAACTTTGCTGAAAGAGCAGCAAATAATCAACCTTTCCTTCGTCTGTCGTCATTGTTGTTTCGCTCTTCCTATTTTTTCGTAATTTTATAAAAAGTAACTAAAAAGCCGTTGTCGTTTGCTGTTTTTGCTGTTGTTTTCCGGTACTGATCAACAATTTTTTTTGTTACCAATGATGCTGAACCAACAAATGTTTGCCTCTGTATTGAACATTCTGCAACAAAAGTTTTCAAGTTTTATACAAATAAAAAAAAAAAAAGAAACGACGAAATGATACAAATCGGTATTCTATGACAGTAATTAACCGATTCATCGAAAAGTAACGCATATCTAAGTTCAAAATTTTCTTTCTGAACTTCTAAACGAGGGTATATTTTTTCCATAGTTTTATCCCTTTCCCCACGTTTCCAACAGCTCCTCCCTTCTCGTCTCCTTCCTCCTCTTCTGTCACTGTTAGATGTACCTATCCTAAAAGTTTTACAGAAAGAAAAAAAGAAGTGAAAAGCAATATTACTGCTTCTATAATTGATCTATATCAAAGACAATTTTTTTTGTCTATGTCTGTTTGTTCAATGGTGTTTATATCCGTCCAACACCAACAAAAAAAAAGACAGCATATAAAAAGGTTGAAAGAAATGAGGAGAGAATAAGTGATACAATTGTTATTTACAGATAGATAAAATGGTAATTTAACCAATAATGTTTTTTTTTTTTTTTTCAGACTGTGACAGAGAGGTCGGGGTTATTGGAATACAAAATAAAAAAGTCAAAAATGAGCAGCTTTTTTTAGTTTTTTATTTCAAATGAGGAATATAAAGAAAAAAAATTGCTATTGTACATAAAATTCAATGATATCCATCCACATAGGAACTGTATAAAGTCAGTAAAGTTGAAAAATCTATAGACACTGAGAGACAAATATTGAATTCACATAAAAGTTCAAAAGTAATTATCAATTGTAACAACAGACAACTGCATTTTATTATAGCCAAAATGTAGCCGACTTTTCAGTTCAAAATATAACTGCCATATATCAATATTTAGTTTTATAATTTATAAGTAAACCAACAAAATTTAGATGTAAAAAAAAACAAGATGTGAAAGGACAAAAAAAAAAGTATAGAATATAACGCTAACTTTATTGTCAACAAAAACACACTTATCAATTGCAAATTCTTTACAAATAATTCTCAAGCTCTTTTTTCAAAGGAAAATTTCACCACTTTTTTTGGTCTTTCTTCACCGTTTAGCCAACAACATTTAACTGCCATTCAATTTATACATATCTGCAAAAAAAAAAAACGAAAATAATAATAATAATAGAATACAGGAAAAAAAATAAGAAAAAATTAAGTTTTATTATTTTTTAAATTAATAAATGAATAAGCTCCTGAAAGATATACCTAAGAAAGAACGAGCCAACGATGAAATAAAATTTGCAATCAGTTTATCGTAAAAAGCAGAAACGATTTACTGGCCAACAAATCAATTCATCAAAAATAATGGTGTTTCCATATTTATTGCTTTATTTAGCCAACGAAAAAAAAAAAAGAGGAAATAACCATCAAGGAGAGCAATTTTTTCTGCTTTTCTTTTTCGTTATTCAACACATTTGCTTTTTTTCGTCAGATATGTTGAAGGGATGGTGGTGGTAAAGGAAGTGTATATTTTACAAAAGCCTTAACCGCTTTTCACAAATGTTTGTGACCTTTTTTAATGTTGCATGCGTAAAATGAAAATTTCTATCTATCGGATACACACAAAAATACACAAAAATATACGTTGAATAATTATTTTTGATACCAAATAATGGCTGGCTATTTACTCAACAGTCAGCTGGTCAACAAACCTAAACGCATTGTTCAACAAAAAAAAAAAACGATCTATATAACACTTAAGTATTCCATATACAATTTTTTTTTCTTTCAATGATTATACTATACACTTTTTCCTTTTTTAAAAATTTATTGTAATTTTCCTCCTTTTTTATTTAGTTTTATCTTTTTTTTTCTTTTTGTAAACGAAATCTTTTATCCATTGATATTACAATAAAAAAAAAAGTAATTAAACCCAAAATATCGTACTGTTATTCACAACTGTTGCTTACAGGTTGTCATTAAAAAAATACATATATATATTGTTGATCAAAGAAATGGCAATTTTTCATTCTTTACTATCGCTCATCGCTCAATCTCTTTGATTAATTGTTCCAAAACATGAAATTTGGATGTGATTTGAGCAAACGATCACCGAAGTAAAAGAGGAGTGTAAACAAACAATCTTCTCCTGCCACTTCTATCTCCTGCCATCAAAATATAACGCACAAGGTTTCAAATAGCCAAAAAGTTCCAAAAATTGTTGCTACATGTCGCTACAGTATTGAATATGAGGTAACTATCTTGCCATAATGTTTTGCCGTTCCGGTTGAATTGTTCTGAGAAAAAAACTTGTTAATGCACCTGTTCTTCATATGTAACGCAGCATTAACAAACAAGTACTTTATTATTTGTTCAAAACTGAAATCAGGTAAAAATTGAAGCAACAACAAAGCAAATTTTTCATACAAATAAATACACAGTCAAACTACATCCGTCAACTGAAAATGAAAACAAGAGATTATAACCCTCAAAGTATCTATACAAGGACAAAGGCAACTGCAAAAAAACCTGGAAGTTAACTTGGAAAAAATCATCAGAACCAATTAAAGGTAGGTTCACAACAAACAGTAGAATGAGTCTCACTTCAAAATTCAAAAATTCAGCCTAATTTGAGCAGAAAATTACTATCTCAAAGGCCAATAAAAAGTGCAATGAAATTGCACAGAGCAACTTTATAAATTAATAAGGTCCAAGACGTGCTTCATACAATAAATTATGAGGTTTGTCGAAAGAAAGCCAAACGCGGCCAACAACGAACGAGACATGACATTAGAGGATACCCGATAAAAAGAGCCTGGAAGTCAGAAAATCAAGAAACGAACCGTCTAATATTAAGTCACAAAATCAGAAATAACAGAAATGTAAGAATTTCTCCTAAACTTCTCGATTTCTGCACAAGAAATGAAACAACAACCACTTAACAGTAAAGAGACGCAAAGAAATTCAAGTTTATCCCTCAAAAAGGTAACTGACTTGTTTTATCCAAAAAACTTTGAGAAAGGCCAAACTGTGAGAAGATGTTGAAGAAGAGTAACTGAGGTGTCACCTGCTCATCTTTCTGAAAAAATGACATTTAGCCGGTTGAAAATAATGCTCCTTTCAAGAAAAAAAAAAAAA